CAGGGAGAGCTCCAGTTAAGGGCAGTGAAACCTGAGGTCATGAATGGCAGAAAACTGACTTTTCTTTGGAAGAAAGATGCTAAGATGTTTGACAGCCAGAGTCAGCAGGTAATAAGGATGCCTCGTTTACCAGGTGTCTCCTGGCTCCCACCTTCTCTGGCAGCACAAACAAAGGTATCACTGAATAAGGAGCTGCCCTTTACAGACAAACGGTATTGTAACTACAGATGCATAAAATTCTGGGAAATAGATGGAGGTGGCAGAGCAAAGGCCCATGGGAACCCGCAAGATACAACACAAACACTCACCAGCTCCCCATTGTTGATTCAAGAAAACCTTTGCCATTTTACCGCTGAGCTCCTAACACATTTGAAACAATTCAGCTTGGACTCATTTGCAAGTCATTGCTTTCTGAAATCCACCTCTCATGGTTAAGATGTTTTCAGCCTCAATTTTATGAAATTAATAGAATGCGGGAGACAGAACATTTTTTTGGCCAGTTTCCAAACTAAAAATAGTTGAAATGACTTGTATCTTTTTATTTTCAAAAAACCCAGTACAAGAAGATTAAAAAGATATTCCCAGCCAACAACTGAGGTGCCAAGTTTCTGTCAACTGCTTGGTTCTAATTTGGAGAGTTAGATTTACATGTGATATCTTGAAAAGTGTGGTTTTTCAGAAAGACAAGTGATGTAAGGCCACAGCAGGCAACTTTTAATCAGGCGTCTAATGACGATACTCCCAGTTCCTAGATGTTACAGATGAGTCTCAAGATTTTCTACTTCTAACTGCAGAACATCCAGATGCTTGTTTTAATTCTCCTGTCATGTGGCCCCACGAGGGGGAAACATGGGGCTCAATGACCATGAATCAGCCAGGCCTCCAGTCCAGGTCAACCTTGACCTACGCTGGATGCTTCAGACCCAACCCACAGCGCCAGGCCCTTTTCATGGGCTGGAACAGAGAGCGAGGGAAGAGAGCTGTACTGAAAAAAACTACAACCGTACTGGAAACAAACCAACCAACCAGGTATCAAGTGCAGCTTCCGCATCAGTGGTCCTTAGGCCTGCATTTTTAGAATCATCTGAGGATTTCAAAGAAAACACCAATGTCTAGGTCCTGTCCGAGACCAACGAAATCATAATTTCCGGCAGTGGGGCTGGACCCCGGCATGTAAAATACAAAAGCTTCCCAGGTAAGTCTAATGTCAGTCAAGGTGAGCACTGCTGCTAGATTAAGGAGAGGTGGCACAGAAACTGTAGGAATTTAACCTCCCCTCCCTTGCAAAGCCCCAGTCACGCGGCTACTGAATCCCTCGCCCTGACATGAGACAGTCTGCCTCTGTCTTCTGGATTCCAAGAAAGATCTGGGCAAACGTGCAGGCTGCAGCCCTCAAAGGCTTGTCTCCTAGGCTGAAACGCAGAGTTTTCAAAATTATCTTTGCCGTCATCCCAGAAAAGCATCAGCAAGGGCTGCCCCATCTTCTCCTCTGAGGCAATTACAGTGCTGAGCCTGGGAAGCCTTGGTCCTAGGAAACATTAATCGCCAAGGACTAAGGAATGTTAAGTGTGGGCTCAGGCAGGAGAAGTCTGGATGGTTTGGGGAAGGGGTTTGATGTCACAATCACAGACGCTGGAAGTCCTCAAAATGGGGATCAGGATGGGTGGCCTTCAAGTCCCCTTAAAACAGCATTCCACCAGCGATTTTTAATACTACTGTGTCTGTGTTCAGTTGCGCAGTGAGTCTGTGGTTCCATGGACTATAGCCCGCCAGGCTCCTTTGTCCATGGAATTCTCTAGGCAAGAATACTCGAGTGGGTTGTCACTTACTACTCCAAGGGGATCTTCCCGACGCAGGGATCAAACCCACTCTCTTGCATCTCCTGCACTGGCAGGCAGATTCTTTACCACTAGCAATAGCTCGGAAGCCCTTTAATCCTCCTGGGTTCTCTTAAAGTCATTTGTGTGTTGAATGTGTGTTGAAGGAGCAAGAAAGACTCCCCTTAATCAGCAAGCAAGAAAGAATCAAGTGTTTTCCATCTCGCTTTTGAAAACAAGAAGATATGGACACGCTTGAATTTGTCTCTGTGCTCCGGTTCTGCAATGACGTGGCTGGCAGAGGCTCCCAGCCCCGGTGTCCACAAACAGCTGCACCCTAGGGTCCCAGCAGGTGCACGCACAGAGCCTGGCTCAAAAATTCAAGACGAGAACAATGGCACCGTTATGAGGCTGGGGGACAAGGCCCGATGCTAACCCAACATCCGATAAGGGAAAGAGCTAGAAGCTCAGCCACAGCTCCCCAGAGTCTGGCCCTTTGGTCCCGGGATCACAGCCACGGACACAGCCAGGTAGAGTACCCTGGCGCGAGCCGCTATCAATTATAGGGCCTGATCAACCAGAGAGCAAGTGGAAGAAAAAATAATAATAATCTCCCCTTCTCCCCCGAAAATGTATTCCTTTCCTTTTCACATATCTTCTCCCGTGGGCTGCGCTGCCCCTGTCACCAAGTTTACATTTACATCCAAATATGCACACACACAAAAAAATTACCGATGCATCTCACTCCCCGGTGACTTTGTAACAGGTTGCTAGGTAACAGTGCACACAAGTCAGGTTTCAGGACCTCTAGTAAGCCACCATAAAATAGCTGCACGGGCCTTTTGCATAAACAGCGTGCATTTGTTATCTGTTTTCTTATGCCCGTTGATCAGTCAGTAAATACTGCGACTGCCAAACCCGTAAACAAGTCCCCGTTAATAGCCGGCTGAGGAAACAGATGACAGGAGAAGGCTTGGGCGCGAGGTTTTCCACCCCAGCCTCCCGACTGCCTTTTCCTCTTGTGTTCCTCCTGTTGCAAGCCTGGCTTCCAGCAGCCACAGGTCTTATCTTACAACTCCCTGAGAATGGGTCTGTAGCTAATTACAGACTGATGTGGGGCACCCATAGCCAAGCCCACCAGAAGTCGTGTATTATCAAGCCTTCCTCTACCCTCTCTCACCTTCCTCAGGATTTAAAAACTTTCTGCAGTCCTGGAGTAAAGAAGACACCTTCTTCCTAAGAGCTTCTCACCCCTGCAGTTTCCCCCCTTGTCTGCTAAGTAAGGAAATGTCCCATTTAGCCACCCTAAGTGAATTCGCCCACCACTGCATTCCTTCCCTTGAGGAAGCACTAGAAGAGCCCAGAAAACGAGCCCCTTTTGCTCTGACATTGGTGGGACATACTATCAAGAAAGAACCAGTGCTCTCCCAGAAGTGAAAACTGAAGGATCTGCAGCAAAACGAAACCCAGAAGCCTACGTTTTCCCCACATCTCCAAACATGTTTATGTGTAAAATGCAGAGTTTTCAAGAGCACATGTTCCCTAGGCTGGGATGGGAGAGGAGAAGGCAGGGACAGATCATTGTTCATTGCCACGCTCAAGGCACCTGACTTCCTGCCACTTGACCATTCACGGTGTAGGATGTGCTCCGGGTCACGCAGGGTGGGGTGCCTCCCTGTGACATGCCATCTCAGTTCTTTCTGCGACGCCTCACGCCCATCCCCTGCCTTTGCTTATTTCTTCCAACCAGCCCTGAGCACTCCTGAGGGGCACAGACCTGGGGTGATGGGAACGTTCCAGAAGGCCTGACTGACGTGTCACTGAGCAAAGGGACTTCAGAGTGAAGCAGAACCTCTAATTCACCTGGCGATGACATTTAGTGAAATTTGACTCACAGTCCATTTAAAGGAAGGTGGTGACCAATTATTCTCCATTTAAAAGGGTATTGTCAATCTCCAGAGAGCTGAAATGGCATTTGGAAATCATCGTGGGGCCTGCCGTCCTTACTGAGAGACAGAACCAATTCTCAGCCGACCTTTCCCCATCCTCTACATCTCTTTTAAAATTTAAAATCAGACTTTAAAAAATATAACGAGTAGCAGCACAGGCCCACAAGTTTTCTCAAAAAAAAGTCAGGAAAAACAGTGCTCCTCCAGCATTATGACACTCCTATTCAACTCCACGACTTAATCAAAGAAATTGGTGGGCGGGGCGGGGGGGGGTGGGGGAACGAAATGAAACATCATGTATAATTTGATGGTGAAAGTCGTATCAATTAGTAATACATTTTTATGACATACTACAACTTCTTTCTAAAAAGCACTTGAGGCAGCTGCAAAAGAATATTAACAATTTTTTTAAATTCCACTTTACATGAGGTTCCTAGTGTAGTTATGTTCACAGAGACAGAAGGTAGAATAGTGACTACCAGGGCAGAGGGGAGGGAAGAATTCTTGGTTAATGGGTACAGGGCTTCAGTTTGGGAGGATGAAAAAGTTCTGAAGACAGATGGTAGTGATGGTTACACAACAATGTAAATATACTTAATGCTAAGGAACTGGATACCTGAAAATGGTTAAAATGGCAAATTTCATATATTTTTTTAACCACAATAAAAAACTTTCCATTAGAAGAAAACAAAACCTAAAGATAATTTTATCATTTGCTCAGATTTTAAAACTCTAAAATTTTTCTAATAGTACCCTGTGTATATGTCCTTTAGAATCTTTCACGTCAAGGCAATCAAGAACTTGAGTATACGTAAAGCAAGATGTCCCATACAAGCCCTTTCAAAGAACCCAGTGGAGAGACACGTCAAATAAGGTTTAAGGTCAATGGAGAGCCAAGTTAAATAGGGCTCAAGGTCACACAAAGAACTAACTGTCACCAACCTTGCTGCCCTGTGACCTGTCCCCCACAGCAGGAACCCATAACAGGGGGAAACCAGAAAGAAATCAACCATCTCTGTTGTTTCGAGACCCAAACCACAGCCATGCCTACTTCCACAGGACGGTTAAAAAAAAAAGTCTCAAGGAGAAAATGTGTGAGGGTGCAGACAACTGTCATGTAGAGGGACCCTGAAATCACTTAGTCCTACCAGCTCATCGTATAGCTACGAATACTGGTGGATAGAGACAAGACAGGGGAGAGAGAGAGAGAGAGGGGACACCCCTCTTCAAGTACCTGACAACTTCATGAGAAAATCGGACGCCATCTTAACAGAGATGTCCTGGCTGAACAATGCGGACGCACTGTTGGCCGCGAACTCGGAGGGCTCTCTCAGCTTTGTGTGGTTGGCTGGCCTGTCGGTAGCATTCAGAGGAAAGGAGGTTGGCAGGCCGTTATCTTCCTTGGGCTCCTCCTTCACCAGCAAAGGCGAGACGCCAGCCCCACCCTGGCTAGTCCTCTCTGGAGTGCTGGACTTCATCATGGTCCCCACTAGCTCTGTCCCTCCTCCTTCCCTTTGCTGCCCCAGGCAGGAACTGTCACTGAGGTGGGGAGGCCCCTTGACCTCGGGGTCTGGGAGCTCCTCCTTCACCTTGGCTTCTGTCCTCAGGAAGTGCTGATGGCAACGCATGTGGAGCTTCAGGCTGAAGTGGCGGGAGGAAGTGAACGGGCAGAGCTGGCACTGAAAGGTCTCTCCCCGGTCCTGGTGCTGATGAACCTGATGGAGAAGCAACAAGAGTGAGCTGGCCACCGCGTGCCGACGGAGGACGCCCTGCTGGGCCTCCACCCTCTGCATGTTTGCATTGCTGAGCTGCTGGGTCACGTCTGACTCTTCACGACCCTGTGGACTGTAGCCCGCCAGGCTCCTCTGTCCGTGGGATTCTCCAGACAAGAATAATGGAATAGGGCTGCCATTCCCTTCCTGGCCCAGGCAATCATATCACCAGAGGAGCACTTCATCGTGTGCTTCAGGTCATGAGGGTCATCCCTAAACACAGAGCGGGTCCACACAGGTTAAGAGTCCATTAGGAGATCCACACTCAACAACCGGGGACGCAGTCTGCCCATGGAGGCTGTCTAGGGTAGAAACCTCTTCATGTTCTAGTCATCCCATCTCTGTTGATGTCTTCAAAGAAAACATTATAAACCCAGCACAATTTGAACTAACATAATTACTAGTTGGGGGGGGGCGGGTAGTCAAAAGAGGTACCCTGTCAAGTCATTCCTCTCACAATATAATATGCTGCATGGACCCAATGATTACTACCCAGAGAAGTAGTTATGCTTTGCAAACATAATTTCCACTTTCAAAAATGCTTCTCTAGGTAATTAAGACTGTGGAAAATAATGCCTCCAGGGCATTCCTGTTTCATAGATAAATTGAGACCCTGGAGCACGTGGACAGAGCAAAAGGACATATAAAGAAAGCAGACGGGGAGGGACTGCCCTGGTGGCCAAGTGGTTAAGAATCTGCGCTCCCACTGTAGGGGCATGGGTTCGACTTCTGGTCAGGGAACTAAGATCCCGCGTGCTGTGCAACGTGGACAAAAATAAATAAATAAAAACAACTCTCTAAGCTTCTAAGACACCCTTCCTTTCTGTATTCCTCCAGCCATCTACAGGCAGCGTCTAAAAAAAAAAAAGAAGGAGCACAGAGGGAGAAAAACCAGAGGCTGATGCCCACCAAACAGTCTCAGCAAGATGAAACCAGAGGTGCCACATACGGTTCTTTCTAGCAGGGTCTAGATAGGCATGTCTACAATGAAAGAATGCAGACTTGGAAACCCAGCTCCAGCCTTGCCTGCACAATACCTGTAAAAATGGGAAGAAACATTTTTCTTTCCTTCCTGTCATGATCAAATTTAGGGCTTGAAAAAGTGAGGAAATCGCTGCATTGGCCTGAGCCAGGCGTGGAGCTGGCAGGTGTAAGCTCGTAACTTCCCCATTCATCTCTGCCAATGTACTTGAGCACTGACCTGCTCCACCCTGCTATTTCAGGACTGGCCCTCCCTCGAGCAGAAACTGCCAATGGCGTAGATTTGGGCCAAAAGATTTGGGGAACTGTGTGATTTTGGAAAAAAGGAGGGAAAGGAATTCAAACCCCGAGTCAAACTGACCTCTCCTCTTTGGCGATCTAGGCAGGATTTGAACCCAGGTCGAATGAAGGTGAAAGGTTAAAGGTTCCTTAATCCACTGGGCCACCTGGCCCCTCTGCGTGGGCTTCCTTTCTAAGAGAGCAAGTTTTACTACAGCTGTTTATGCATTCTGAGTGCAATCCAAAAGCATTATTCACCAGCCAAAACATACTTTTAAATAACGTTCAGTGACCAACAAAAGCAAAGAAATTAAAAGTTAATGGTGAGATCCTGTCGCTACAGCACCCCACTGTGGCTTTTTGAAAAAAACAACAGAAGAGATTCTGGGTCCCCCAAAGCATGAATTTCTCCAAAGAAATAACCAGATACACTTAAATTCAGCTGCGGCAAAGCCTTGCTCATTAAAAGGCTTTCCGCCTGACAGGTGGGGAGAGGATGGAGGGTGCCACACACCCTTTGTTGCTGGCTGAGGACTGTCTCAGTTCTTTCACAACAAAGGGACTTCGCTCTGGAGTGGATGGGTTCACTTGCTGTCTCCCTCACACAGTCGGGAACATTCCCCACCCTCTCTTCTACCCAGCTCACGCGGGAGCTGGCACCTTGTGGGGCCTCCGGTCACAGCCCCAGGGGACCCTGACAGGTGCAACCCACAGCTCGCCCCGGAGCCAGGTGGTAAAGGTCACTAGGCAGAAAGCTTCCGCCATCCCCGGGAGCCGGGTGGTGGGACAGATCCCGTTTCAGAAATGTCCAGGCATCTATTGCCCCAGCAGAGGACAGGCGCTAATCAAGAAGGAAGCTCCGGGAGCAGCTTCTGGAAAAGAAAAAGGATGGAGTCCAGGTTCTAAAATCCAAAATCCTGGATTCAAAAGAGTCCATGCCCAAGCCCCATGCACGGCTCCTTTTCCACCCCATCCTGGCTTGGCTATATTTAGTTGCGGGAAAATGAGTGAGTGTGGAAAAGAAAAACAGTGGATGTGGTGCTGACGGTCACACTTAGCATTATATTTGAGCTAGACCAGCCCAGAGGGGCTCAAGCTCGTATTTGGCCGTGGAGGGAAGGCTCGCCCCTGCTCTCCTGACAATAAAAGCCCTTTCTGGGATCATCTGTACTCTCTTTAGCCTGACATCGCCTTCAAAATCGCTCTCAGTCGGCTACCGTCAAGAAACCCTTGACTAAAGCCTGTCATTCTTTCCAGGTCACGTAGAGAGGGGCTGCCTGCTGGTCATCCTACACAAAGAGCGCATGTCACCACCACAAGAAGTTTAAAGACTGTTGCATCACCGTGTCCCTCTCGGACAGTGTGGGGAACAACATCTCCTCCACTCACCCCGCTTAGGGGGCCTGGCAGGCTGGGAGGGGGCGAACCTAGCGGTCACTCCCTTACCTGGCACGCCTGAGACTAGAAAAAGTCAGCACCCTGACCCCTGCCTGCTTCTTGCCATTTCTTCACCCATGTTCCTGTTCTCGGTCCTCCTCACCTTCTCTGTTCAATTCCAGCTTACGAATTTCATAGTGAATTCCTGTATGCTCACTCATCCAGGAAAGTTGTAAAAGACTTAATGGAAATCTAAGATAACCCCGAGGAAGCTGGAGGCATTTACAAGCTCCTTCCGAAGCAAGCCATAAAAACATTTGCATGATATATTAAGGAGAAAAGGCAGGCTTTCAGAAAATGTACAGTGCCTAGAACCCAGTAAGTACTATAGTTGAACAAATCCATTAAGAATCCCATTGTTCCTTAAGTAAATCTATATAATAAATACAGAAGGCTATACAGATTAGCATGGTAATAATGGTTATTTCTGCGTGATGGGATTAAGGGCCAATTTCAGATTCTTTTCATCAGTTTTTCTAAACTCTCATTGTGTCACAAAGAGAGAAAAGCAATAAAATTTAGAGTCATTCTTTTATGCCGTGTCATTGATTTATTTCTAAATGTAAATGTTAATATATAGTCAGATGGCTTTTGGATAGTAATTACTATAGTAGCCACATTTCTTGAGGGCTTCTCCATGCTGGGCATCAAATTAAGTGCTTTATATCCATTCTTTCATTTAACCCTCATAACAACTCCACAAGATACACCATACGATTACTATCTCCAAGAGCGGAAACAGAGGCTTGGAGAGGTTAAATGACTTACCCAAAGCGCCACAGCTACTGAAAGTCTAACTAAGGCTTTTTTGTTTTTGTTTTTCTGACCACAGGGTTTGAGATATTAACCTTTAGGCCATACTGGCCCTGCTTTTGAGGCAGGACTCAGACTAGGAAATCTGTTCCTACCACAGCCTCTGGCGAACAGAGCAGAGACTATCTATTCCTAAGGAAACCACCATGATGTTTCTCTGTAGACCATGTTTTCAAAATCTAGCAAAATTAAAGTCTATCTCATCAAAATTAAATCATGAGTTCTTTGATGAAAGCAAAAAACACGAGCCCATAAGTGAGGTGGAGAAGAGAAAAGGAAGTGTACACCATCTGAGCAAATGAAACTTGTGTGAGCCCTTCTCACACGTCTCTCCTCAAAAGCTCAACAGGTTAGGACACCATGGGTTTGAATAAAGTAGTCACTTCACACAACTGCTTCATTGTACTGGTTATTGATTTGTTCTGAAAGCATTCTAGGACCCCACGACCTGCAGAGCCCTGGCTGTTCTCATCTGTAACGCTGTCGTGGCCGACCGTCTGTATCACCAAGGCACCCCACTCATCTCCCTGCAGTTTCAGGGTCACTAGTTCCTGCTATTGAAAACCCAGCTTTTTTTTTTTTTTTCCACGGGTTTATAAATAGGTTGTTTTAAGTGACCCTGAGCTGAAACCAGGCTTACAAGGTGTCAGGCCAGATGCAAGTTTTCTGCTCACTGAAGCTTTAAATTTGCCAGGCCTGATTTCTAAACCCCAGTGTAAGGGCACAGTAACGGAAGCAAATTTTAGTTTTAAAGGCACTTCTTTGAAAGTCTCCTTCTACTTAATGAAATCCACTTATGCCGGTGTAAAATATAAGATTTTTCTTTGGGAAGAGGTGACAGAGAGTGAGAAGGATTCAAGTAAAACACCTGAGCTGGCTCAGTAAAATTCAACCAACCAGAACCCCTGGTTAAATGGATTCTGATGATGAAGGGCATGGCATACTCCCCAGAGACAAAGACAGCGGGCAGAAAACAAATTATATTATAGCTTTTTTTTTTAAATTTTCCAAGTTATTTCCTTAAGTCAGTAGAGGTTCTGTCTGATCACGTTCTTTTATATCTACAGTGCTAAACAGTGATTCCTGATCTATTCATAAGTATGAGACTACAAGAATTTGAGAAAAGCAACTATCTCATTATGTTATACTTTACATTATACTTCCTATGGCAGGATAGTAAACACTTTACAAATAATGTTAACAGCCAGACCACTGCAAATATCAGTAAGAATGATGGTTACTACTATTAAGGTGTTCAACAACCGTTACTGAAATCAAACAACTACCACTGAACATTTCTGTGTTGAATACTTTGCCATTATTTCCTTAAATATTAATGATATCCCTTCCAGATGGACGTAACTGTTCCCATTTAACAGATGAAAAAATTGAGTCTAAAGATGCATTTGCTCACAGCCACTTAGCTAGTAAGCTGCGCAGTAAGGTTTAAGGGCAGGTCTGTCAAAATCAAAAGCCCATGCTCTTTTGATCTCTTGCATCTCAGATACTGGATCTCTTTGCATTTCAGGCAAAATTAGCATTAATAGAGTCTGCTAAAAAGATTGCTAGCTGCCTAAGTTTTCCCCAGCTCACTTAAGAGTGGCACGTAGTCTAGACAATTCCCGATATGCTCCTTACAGGCATAAGCCTCCCAACTGTCCCTAATAGAACAATGAAAAAAGTACCTTCCAATGTTTGCTAAGTGTGACCCCAGGAATTATGACAACTCAAACCCTGACAGCCTCAAAGGGACCCAGTCTTGTCAGGAATGGCCCCCAGGCCTGCCACAGGGTGGACGTTAAAGCAAGATGACTTTCAACTTGCTCATGCTTCCTGTTCGATGTCTCTGGGCGTGCCTCTGGGTTTGAAGACGGAGGGCAAAGCAACAGAAGAGGGTGCTCCCTCCAAGAAGAGGGGCAGGTCCAACAGCTCTTCCTGCACCTGTCTCTCCCTGCTTCTTACTCCTCCCCAAGTTTTCCTCCACGTGCCCCCAAATGCGTCACCCCGCAAGGCCAGGTTAGGCTGCCGCTCCCCAATGGGAAGGGATGGTTCTACATGACCTATATTATCTGGCTGCTGAAGCTGCTCTCTGCCTTTAAGTTCTGGGCTGTCGAATGGACATGAGGACACTTATAATGAGATCCTTTCCAATACGATCCTTTTATCCACATCACACTCTACCTTACAACCCTGAGCTCAGACCCCGGTTGGTGCGAGGGCCCTGGCTGTGCCTGCCTCGCCTTCAGGCCCGTCCGCGGGAGACTTACCTTCATGTGGGATTTGAGATTGTCCTTGCGAGCACATCGGAATGGACAGAGCGGACACTGATGACTTTTTAAACCTGTGTGAATCACCATGTGCCGCTTCCAGTAACTCTTCCTTTTTATAACCAGACCACATATGGGACACTGGAAAGGCTTGCCGCTTTCCTCTTCTGAGGCTTGGGAGAAGAAGAGAGACAGGAAAATTAAGGAAAACAAAAAGGCACGTTGTATCCAGCACTAATTCACATGCATTGCTCTATCAAGAAAACTAACAAGGAACTGGGGGGTTGGGAAGGGTTTTTTGCTTGTCCTTTCGTTTTTGTTGTTTTTTGTTTGGGTTTTTTTTTTTTTTTTTTTGGTTTGGAGTTTTGGAAGTCTTCTTTGGTTTTGCTTTTTCGTTTGTTAGTTGTTTGTCTCATTCCAAGACTTTATCTGTGAGGAAGCTTTATTCCTGCTTTTCTTCAGGTGGAAACCCGTGTTCATCTCATGACTTCAACCTGGGTTTCATTCTTTCAAAATCGGCTCATCCTGCCTTGGAAAAGTCCTGCTTTCAGAGGCCACCCACCACGCTTCAGAAGGCATCCCACACCTCAGCCCAGAGAAGCCCAACTCCAGGGCCTTTGTTTCCTGAAGGAAAGTGCCAGACTCGAGTTCATATCTGAATTCCTGACCTTGGAAAATGGCAAGAAATAAAGACAACTCAAAGGGACCGAGAATAACGCCACGCTGCAAACCAAAGGGCCATCGTAAAGCTCACACGCCAAACCCTAATGGAGACAGACTTCAGGCAGACTTGTGCTGTGACGGCTTGGGCAGAAGCTGCTGACAATTTGGCCATCGGGGGCCTTAAGGTGAGAGGTTGTCACTCTCTTATTTTTGACCCTCCACTGGCCACTAAGGTGTGCTGCCCTCTGCGGAGCCTGGCGCCCACCGCCCACTTTGGGAAAAGCTACAATCAGGCGGCCACAAGTGCTTCCATTTTTCAGGAAAGCAAACAAACCAGGTACTTCCTGCAAGGAGAGCTGCGATCACTCCTCCACCGGCCCCAAAGGGGAGCGTGTCTGCTGCGCCCCCCTGTGTTGCCACGCTTCTGGTCACCAATTTATACTGCACAGGGTCACATAAGCCTCTGCTATTTGGGACAGAGGAAATAAAAACAGAATTAAGGACTCAGGCTTTCCCTTCATGTGGGATCAGAAATTTCCAAACTGGTTAAATACGTTGTAATACACTCATGAAATAAAATGTAAGAAGCCCATTTTAAAAAATAAATTAGATCAATAGATGCTGACACAGAAACATGTCCAAGATAGTAGTTAGTGGATAAAGCAAGAATTGAAATTATAAGTTTAGAAGGATTCTATTTTTATTCTCTAGAAAATAGGAACCAATTGCTGCTCAGACCACTAGGTGAAGGGTTGATAGGGGACTTTATAAAGGATGTATCAAGCTGACAACACCTAGCAAACCATTACTCAATCTCAGCAACACTAAGAATGGATGCATGTTGGGTGCCCTTTGATAATCCATGTATGAAATATTCTTATAAAATATTTAATCAAGCTTCTAGATAACTAGTGAGTTTCCTGGAAACACAGGTGGTTTTAATAAAAAAAAAAAAAAGTTACACATACTAAGAGGGATGGAATCAGCCAAATTCAGAATGTGGGACATTCTATAGAACAGATGACCCAGTTTCTTCAACAAGTAACTGGCATTTTAAAAAGGGAAGAGGTTATAGATGAAAAGACACTTAAGAGACAGATAAAGCAAATGCAAGGTGTGAAGCTTATTTCTGCTCCCGATTTGAATGAAGCAATGATAAAAGGACACTTTTGCGATAATTAAAGAAAATGCTGATTACAGCCCTGGTGTTCCGTGATACCATATGACAGCCGTTGACCCTATCACATGTCATACCAGTTATTGTGACTATGCTAATACCATTTATTGTGACTATGCGCGTTTAAAGCCCTTAGTGGTGCTGGTGGCAGTGGAGGTTTAGTCGCTAAGTCGCGATCAACTTGGGACCCCAGAGATTAAAGCCCACTAGGCTCTTCTGTCCATGGGGCTCCCCAGGCAAGAATACTGGAGTGGGTTGCCATTTCGTTCTCCTCTGGGAGATCTTCCTGACCCAGGGATCGAACCACTGTCTCCTGCGTAGGCAGACACAGGCAGGCAGATTCTTTACCAGGGAAGTCCTTAAAGTCCTGGTGTGCTGTGCTTACCCACTCAGGCGTGTCTGACTCTTTTCGACCATGGACCGTAGCCCACCAGGCTGCTCTGTTCATGGGGATTCTCCAGGCAAGACTACTAGAGTGGATTGCCATGCCCTCCTCCAGGAGACCTTCCCAACCCAGGGATCGAACCCAGGTCTCCCACACTGCATGTGGATTCTTTACCTCCTGAGCCACCAAGGAAGCCCCTTAAAGTCCTTATGTATATATAAATACTTGCAAGCAAATGAATATGAGGTCTTGGATTTGCTTTTAAATACTTGGGCAAAAAAGAAAAAAGAGAAATAGGAAGAATGAGATGAATAAATGAAACAATGATCATCTTTTATCTGTATGAGAATTATCTAGAAATGTACACAGAAAACCATTAAGCAGTTCATTTTAAAGGACTGTGGATTAAAAGGAAGGGATCATGGTGGGAAACTTGTTTTCATTGTATATTTCTCTGTACTATTTGAATCTTTTTAATATATACATTACTTTTATAATTTTAAAAGGAAATATTCCCAAGTGTAAACTTTTAAATAATCTTATTATTTATTCATGGAGTCAACTGAATCTCCACATGCAAAGAACCACTTAAAATGAATGGAATCAGAAGAGTTCTGGAGTAAAGCCAGGGCATTCCAATTGTTCTTACATTGCTTATAGGTATAAGCAATATTGGTTAGCGCAACGAAGGACCTTGAAAAAGAATTCTCTATCTGAAAACATATCCCTTAAGTCTGGAAATTCCACTTGTGACGGGTCCCATCACAGAACTCCCTCTTCTGATTGGGGGACAGGGTGGAGACAGGATTTCCTTTGACTCGAGGAAAAGCACATTTCATGAAGGCTCATCAACACGCTTCTTCTCAACCCATTCGAGCTCTCCTCCCACCTTATTGATCGCCTCTGCTGACCTGGACTCCCATCCCTAATTCAGCCTCTCATTGCCTATCCTTTACCATCACTCCCTCCACTCTGACATCTGGACCACAAAGACGGCATGGTGAATTACAGATTTGAGAGAAAAGACTGACTCAGGGCTTCCCTGGTGGCTTAGTGGTAGAGAATCCACCTGCCAGTGCAGGAGACACAGGTTCAATCCCCGATCCAGGGAGATGCCACATGCCACAGAGCAACTAAGCCTGTGTGCCACAACTATGGATCCAGTGCTCTAGGGCCCTGGAGCTGCAATTACTGAGTCCACGAGCCTTAAGTACTGAAGCCGGCACGCCCGTGTTCTGCAACAAGAGAAGCCACTGCAATGAGAAGACTGCACACTGCAGCTAGGAAGTAGCCCCAGCTCTCCACAACTGGAGAAAAGCCCACAGCACAATAAAGACGCAGCACGGCCAAACATTAAATAAATTAATAAAACTATATATATATAAAGACTGAATCAGGCCCCTAGGTGATATTACTGTCATAAGCCAAAGGGGGAAAATGATAATAATGTCTATTTGGGGTTATTAAGAACATCAAAGTATTATGAAAGAGATACACAAACAGGCTGCCACTAATCCCCATCTTCAGGAAGTACTTCCCACTGTCTAAACCCTAAACTGCCTTTCACACAATTGTCTGGGAGAGGAGAGAAAAGCTGAGATGTCATACCCTGATCTGAGATTTCATGGCACATCACAGGAAGGCAATCAAAAGGCAATTCCTCACAAAAGGAACATCTCTGGCTTTGCCTAGACAACTGGCTTTGCCTAATGTGACCAACAGGCTTCCTGTTTTTTCTGACACTCTCCACCCCTGCCCTAATCACCTATTCTACATTGTATATGGATCAGACTACACTGCGTTAAACCCTGCATATTCATATTCCATATAAATTTATTTTATTTGGGAGCTATGCTTTCTTAGGTCTAATTAATATCAACTATACATGAACAGTGCACAAATTAGGGTGCCCTTGAACTGACTGGGGGGAAAAGTTCAAATAGTCATAATGAAGAGAAACTAAGTGCAAGATAAGTGGTCCAATAGCCAAACTACTGTAACTATTTGACAATTTTAACTTATTACTGCAGGAAAGGAAGACACAGCCAATGTAACTGGAAAACAATGACTGAGTTTAAAAATTGGAATTTCCCCTGGTAATACTTGCATTTTTATTTATTAAAAATTTATATTTGGGTAAGATGCTTTCCATACATATACAATGTTGTTAACTACTTTTGAGAAAGACAGAAGTAAGGATGGACTCTATTTTGTATGCCAAAATACTTTCAAAGAACTGACAGCTGTAAATTTCACTCAGATTTAGAGTCTAAAGAAATATGACCACTTCCTCAGAATGAACCACAACATGTTTTCAAGGTAACAGGATTGAAATGTTCATAATTTTACTGAGTTTACAACTGTTCGATGAACAACGTCCCCCCAGTACACCACTAGTTAGTATCACTGCAAACAAAATTAAGTGCTACTAGACATGGTGCAGTAGATAGCTGCTAATTTGCTCCCTTGGAGAAAACATGTTCTCTTTATAAGCAATAATATTATTGGAATAAAAAAGATAATAAATGTGTATAAAATGCCTGTCATGGAGGCTCTCGGTAGCTACTGTAATGATTGTAGTGACAATAAACTCTTCCCTCCAAAGCAGAAAACCTACCGTCAAAGCAGGTATAAATTTAAACAACTGACATCACACAATAAATACGTAGCCCATGTTGGGCCTAACCCAACATGGCAGATTATTCCTGAGGCCAAGAGGAAATAAAATTCAGTAGGAATCCACAGTGCTGTTCACATAGGTCCAGTTCAGCCTATGCAGAATTCTGATGTCAAGTTCAGCTCAGCAGGGAAAAGAGGAAGATGGAAAAGACGGAAGAAGAGAAGAGGAGGGTGGAGGCCGGAAAGGGTTGGGGCAGAGCTGGAAGTCCTTACCACCCAACACAGGGCCAGGGACCAAGTACAATTCAGCAATTGTGTGTTGGACCATA